AAAGGCAGACACTGTTTAGACTATTACAATATGTGAATGAATGTCATTGATTGATTAACATCTGTTTCATTAACTTCAGTTAAATTTATTCAAGCTGTTTTTAGCAATACCAGAAATATGGAGTCAGTATTAGGACATCAAAACTGATCTGATGTTTACTGTCACCTTTTTTTTCTTCTTTACAATAAATGCAACTACCACCAGTTCATTATTATATTTTCACTAATAGCTACCACTACATTTTTTCCATGAAAAAGTAAAACAGTTAGGCATGTCCTGTCCATGTTAAACAAGACTTTTTAATGACTCTTAAACTAGTGACTGTGATATCCTCAGTTAATAGGAACATAAATGGATATTAAATAAAGCCAGTGAGCAGAACAGACTCTTTCCAACTGAGAATGAAAAGAAATACAAAGTTCAGTGTGTGACCCAGAGCAGAAGAGTAAAAACTACTACCGCTGTTTTGGATTTTTGTTACTTGTTATTAACAATATACAGTGTGTTTATGGCCTTGGATTTGGGATTAACGTGCTAGTGACAGGACCTTTGAGCCAGCTTCAGGCTTCTCAGAATGAAAAAAAAGTATTCAGACCTGAGTGGGTCTATTCCAGCAGCTGTCAATGTAGTTTGTGTCCACGTTGACACAAACACAAGAACACAAGACAAATTTAGGGGTTGAATACTTTTTCACAGCACTGTCTAATATAAACTACGTTGAGTGAGAAACCTGTGACGCTCCTTTTCATTTTTCATTGTCGATTATTTCAGATGGGACTTAGCAAGCACTGCCTTTCATGTTTGTCTGAGTTAACAGTGTGAATAATCCTTTTTCCAGGGCCAACCCCCAAAATAATGAATCAAGCCAAGGTGACCATTTACAGCAGGGCCACTTGTAATGCACCTGAAGTATTAAATGGTGAAGTCACCAAGGCCATGTTCTGTGCAGGTAGCCTGGAGGGAGGAGTTGACTCCTGTCAGGTCAGTCTGATCCTCCTGTCACACACTCTGAGATGTAGCAATACGTGTACAACCTGAGATATGTCTGTGGTTCTGTGTGCTGCAGGGTGACAGTGGAGGTCCCCTGGTCGTGAAAGAAGGAGATCGATGGTGGCTGGCAGGAGCTACGAGCTATGGTTATGGATGTGCTTTGAAGAACAAGCCAGGAGTCTATGCCAATGTACCATTCTTTATTGACTGGATATATGAAAACATACAGGTACGTATGCAATGGGAGGAGAATAGAGAATAAAGTCCTGTGAAATTATCTGTTGATTAATCAGTGGTGTCAAATGTTTATCCTGTATTTTCTCTGCCACATCAAATATACATTTATATTTGTAAGTTTAGCTAGAAAGTCATAGCAGTGCTTTATTTGTGCGTATACTGTGCTCTTCTGTTCACTTTGTACATGACATTGAATGTTTGACTGTTTTTCATGTTGTGTAAAATTATGTTCTCTGATACATAATTTGGTGATTAACAATCATCTAAGAGAACAAAAGAGAATCTGCTCTTCCCCCTAAATCTAATCATACTTTTTTTTCTTTACCTCCATAGAATAACTGAG